AATACGATGGTAAAATTTGCGTTCGGTCATTTATTCAAAGACTTGAGGAATATCGTATCGCTAGAAACGTATCTGACGAGAGACTGTTATCATTCGCTTTTGAAATATTTGTAGGTCTCTTCACTGGTATCGGGCAGTAAAAGATAACATTAGTAACTTTAATGATCTAGTTACTCGTCTTCGAATGGACTTTGACGTTCATGACTACGACTAACGAATGATTACCGAGATACGTAACCGTGCGCAGGGTGAATCTGAAAACATCGTTATTTATATGGTTATAATGCAAGCTGCGTTTTCTCAATCAAGTAGTCCTATCAGTGATAAAGAACATCTTGAAATTTTCCTACACAATATCCGTCCATGCTACGCAAATGTTCTTGCTAATTACTCTAACGTAGATTCCATTAATCATCTTAAATCTATTTGTCGTAACTACGAACACGTTAAATAAAGCCCGTTCAGATAAATTTAAAGAACCAATTACAGTAAGTTCCAAAAAACATTGGCACCTGAATTTGCCTACCACACATCAAATAAAAATTTACCAAAATGTTATGATAGCGACAGACCTTATGCTAATAGATCATTAGCGAATATTAATAAAACATTTGCTGTGGAAAATCTAAATTTTGTTACCGTTGTCGCCTGTCGATACTCATAACACGAAGGAATTTCCGGCCGAAAGAGTTATTTTTTTGTTTTAAATGTGGCAAAAAAAATACGTTCTATTGATTGTCCCGAGTGTAATAAGTCTAAAATTGAAACCAAGCAAAAAAAAAACTAATTAATGAAAATTGTAGCAAGTCTTCATCCAATTTTTTCAATAGCTCACATTGGAAGAAATGGTTAAGTACTGTAAAAAATTTCTTTATCTCTAACGCGTTTCTTCCGCATACTTGGGGGCTGTTCTCTTTGGCATAGTTCTATAATAGGGCAACGTTGTTGCTTTCAATTTTCAACACTAAGCCGAGCAGTGAGTTAATAACTGTAACTTATGCCTATATGGCTTGTTGGACTCCGGATCAGTAGTAAGCATTTTAGGAAAACACTCTTATGACATCTTACTTAAACACGGTTTCTCAGTAATTGACGATCATCAAATTTCTGTAACTGCCGCGGGCGGGCAGAAACTTAAGTCATTGGGCTACATGCTCTTACCATTGGTGTTTAACCAAACTCGTATTATAAAACTTCACGTTATCCCTGAGATAGACTCACACTTATTACTTGGTATTGATTTTTGGTCGAAATTTAAAATACTTAATAAACACGTGTCTAATATTAATTATATGTGTCGTCATGATCCTAAAATAATGGAAATCACCTCAGACTCTGAGGTGATTTCCATTATTTTTTGACCAAGTTTTCTTCACTGTTACGAGAATTAAAATAATTATGAAAAACCAATTGCTGATTCTGTTGTTGAACAGTATTATATATTTCTTTTGAATAGAACGGCCTAGGTTGAACAACTAACATCACACATAGTATAGACACAGAGTAAATACACATTTATAATCGAAGACTATAATATAGATTCTATATATAATAGAAGATATTGCTTTAGAGTTTTTCATTTCTTTATTTGTATTTGTTATCTTGTCCACTTGTTGGATGCTGTGTTCTCTGTTATTAGAATGAACGTTTATTTGTTACTTTTTTATGTTACCTGAACCATGTAAACGATGCATTCCATTTATGAACCAAATTAAAAAAAAAGAGACAGATGTAGATAGTAGACTGTATGCTCGATTGTCACTCTTATATTATAAAATAAAAAAAATATCTAAAAGGTATTCACAGAGGGGTGATATTTGCCGTGATTGCTGGTTGGACAAGCGGAGTTTTTTTTTATTATTATTATTAAGTTTGATTGATTTCTACAGGAAGATTCTGCGGCTCACATCCTGTTTCAGTTTCCCTCTGTCGCCTCTTATGATACCTGGCCACGGGACGATATGAGGTAGTGGATTAACTTACATCGCCACTACACGGTTAAAGTACACAATCAATACAAGCATAAAAAGTATAAAGTCAATTTCTTTTCCATCATTCTCTATGTGGTAGGGCTCGTTTAATGAGAAGAAGTCTTGGTTTATACCAACATCTTATCATTTCTGGCAGGACACCCACTTCTATATTTTTTTTTACAGGAGCGGGGGCAAACGAGCATACGGCTCACCTGATCGTAAGTGATTACCGCCGCCCATGAACAACCGCAATATCAGAGGAACTGCAGATGCGTTGCCGGTCTTTTAAAAAGGAGTAGGCGATTCGTTTGTTTGGCCAGTATATTACAGCCTATGAGGCATTTTGTCTTAATCCTTAGTAGCGACATTGCTACTCAAGTATTCTTTGTTTGGTGTTGATTGCAGTCTTATAGTGTCAACGGACTGCATCATCTAAGACCACTTGCCATAATAATAAGACTATTTGAGACTCTTCCATCGGATATTTGTCTTAATCGAAACATTGACTGGTGGGTTTAGTGATCGCAATCCAACGTTTCGCACCTTTGACGTCACAAGACATTCTGTGGTATTTCTGACCTATTACCGCCTCTAACAACGGTCTCGATCTCTACTACCCCGCTTCCATAAAGCCATAATTTTATAGAACTCGCTAAGATCATCACACATATTTTTTTAAATATGAGACTATCTTCGGAAGTACGTATTACTTACATAACCCTTACCTGTGTGCACTCTCATGTGCGCGTTAAGCTTCGATACTTCATAAAATCCTTTGTTACAAACTGAGCAAACATGGTTCCGTATGCCGCGGTGCTTCTTCATATGTTGGCACAGTGTGGAGTGGCGACGGAAAGTTTTGTTACACTCGGAGCATTTCAGAGGCTTTTCGCCGGTGTGCAACCGAAAATGAACCTAAAACAACATTTGCTTGTATTATAATACTAGATTTACACTAACCAACTTGGAGGAGCCATACTGCAGCCATATTATGGTTGTAGCACGAATTACTCGGCTCGACCGGGGAAGGACCGCGCGCTAACAGAATACCAGCTGAATGCTTCTGTGCTCCGTATGGTGAGTGTACACAACCGGAAACACTTTTTACTAGAAACAAGGAATGCCAGCCACAGAGGTGACAACGCATCTACATTTTGATTCGTAACCGAGAATAGATGTAGATGTCTATGAGTAACAGTTTTCATTAACCATCATGTGATCTGTGTGCTCGTTTGTCATTTTTATTCAATAAAAAACAAGCATTGTAGGGTAGCTATTTCTAATAACGAAAAATTTTGATGAGGATGTAGGAGCCATAAAAAAGATACGAAAATTAGTGACGAGTATATTAGTAGGATCATGATGCAGCGTCGCGCTGGTGACGTGCTGAGAGGAACCAACTTATTTAATAATTTGGTTCGATAAGAAACAGAAAGGAAAAATGGACAAAAACTGTTACTGTATACTTACACCAGAGATGGAAAAAGACGGAGAAGGGTGCCAGAAATTAAAATGGGAGGATGACATCAAGCAAATAGCCACAACAACATGGCAAAGGAAAGCTGCAAACAAGGAAATATGGAAAACCCTAGGGGAGGCCTATGCCAAATAGCAAGCTGATAATAATGTTACCGATGTCGAAGATTATATAGAATTGTTATTATAAAATATAATTTAGTAGGTACAATAGATTTTAAAACGTTACAACAATAATCAGAAATAAAGGCTATTTGAATATAAGTAGGATACCGTCATTAAATCTGAAGGTTAGCGTGATTATACGTCGTGGCAAGTATTTCTAGCGCTGCAAGAAACATGGACGGGATAGTGCGAATGTCGTACCAGTACAGGGGACGGAATGCGACTGGAGAGCCAATCAGCGCGTTCGAACGATACGCACAGCCAATCATACGCAATAATGCGCTACCTTTCGTGCCGCGAGTTGTACAATTCATCATCACCGTTATTATTACAGACCGTCACAATTTCACGGCTGAACTAATTTCTCCACTAAACACGTTCCTTAATTGGTAATATGAAAGGCATATTATCGAAAAATATTTCATGACTGTCGCTTAAAAAAAAAAACGAGAACTCGAACGGCCAAAGCGTTTTCACGGCAACTAAATTGAATTGATCACGTGATCAAAGTACTGAGAGCACCTTACCTTGAAAGCGCCAGTGCTCACTGTACAAAAATGGCGGCGATTTATAACGTCATACATATGGAGAGTAGAGGTAAGGAGTACAGACTCTGTATAAAAAAGTGTCCGTAGGAAAGCACTGTAGCTACAGTCTAAATTTTAAAGAACTTTTTATATTTTTTTATTGCACAGACTTTCTATGGTAAAAGGTTAAATTCTTTTTACAATAATTATTTTTTTGCTTTCAAAATTTTTATTTTCAAAATCACTCAACGTATTTTACGGCGTATTTTATTATTACCCTGCCCTGTAGCTACTCGAGCGCTGTTGTGGAGAGTTTTTGGACTGTTATTTACTGTTTACAGATGGACACATTTTCAACTATTCTCCTATGGGAGATTGTCCTCCTTACCTCTATACTCCATGGTCATATATTTCCCTAGGGTACCGTGGCAGTATAGGTACTGGCAGTCCATAACGGAACGAATTTTTCACTAGTGAGAGCACTGAGCAGTGGTCGCAGTGTATATCAGAACACGACTATAAATACTTAAACGTAACGTAGACGTAACGTAAAATAATCAAAGGAAAAAAGTAAATTTAAAACAAACTGACAACGTCAAAATGACCAAAAATAACAAAGATAATATAACTACTACTACTTTAAAAAATAATGAAACTTCATTTTGACTGATTTTAACATTTTTAGTGTATTTTTGTATAGTAAACTTCTACACACAGTTCACAATATTTGCTTGAAATGGGTTTCGATTATTATAGCATATTAGGCGTTAAATATGGTTGTAAGCAACACGAAATCAAAGCGGCATATCGACGCCTCGCACTAAAATATAACCCAGAAAAATACGACAACGATGAGAATATGAAAAAAATCTTTGCTCTGATCGCTGAAGCGTATGAAGTGTTAGTGGATCATAAGAGACGAGCTGTCTACGACCAATACGGGGAAGAAGGGTTGAAAAGTGGCGTCCCGGGCCCGACGGATTTCATTCAACCTTACACGTACCACGGAGATCCTTTAAGAACATTCCACGAGTTCTTTGGCACGTCCAACCCTTACGCTGACTTACTAGATTACTATGAGAACCCTCCCCCTATGTTCGAATCCCCGCTTGGCAAGGGATACAAGGAAAAAGACCCTACTATAGTCCGACCACTCGCGCTATCTCTAGAGGAAGTATATAAAGGCGGTTTGAAGAAAATGAAAATCCAACGATTGGTATTCACAAATGAGACGTGTTCTGAATTGAAATTAAGGGAAAAAGTACTGTCGATACCAATCAAACCAGGTATGTACCCCAAAACGCAAGTAAGGTTCAAAGGAGAAGGCGATCAAGGCCCTACTAGAATCCCAGCAGACGTTATGTTCGTCACAGAAGACCGTCCACACGATACTTTTATAAGGTCAGGTTTAAGCGACCTGCTTACAGTTCAAACGATAACATTACAAGAGGCTCTATGTGGAGTTACAATCACATTGACGACTTTAGACGCGCGTACTTTGCGAATCAAAATAACCGATGTGATCACACCGACTTATGAAAAGATTGTCGAAGACGAGGGTCTTCCAATACCAGCCTGTCCTACCAAAGCGAAAGGGAACCTAATAATACGTTTCCGTATAGTGTTCCCGGAGTATTTGTCGAAGAGAAGCAAAAAGGCTTTCGGCGATGCTTTTAAAATTATGCAGGATGACGAAGAAAGATTTCAGAAAATGGACTGTGGGACTCTGGGAAAGACTACGAATGAATGAATTATGTGTACAGACAGTTATATCTTTAATACAAATATATATTTTCAAATAAATTTATTTTCTTTTTAACCGACTTAAAAAGGAGAAGGTTCTCAATTCGAAAATGAATTATTAAAATTTTTGATTGTGAATCGATTTTAATAATATAAATATAATAATATAATTATATTATATTTATATAAATAAAATAAATAATAATATGATTATGATAATTCGTTTTTTTTAAATTAAATATCCCCATCCTTTAAATGCGTTCATCCTTGAAGAAAATCAAGGTCGGTTCCATTGAATTTTGAAGAAAAAATTCTGCCCCCAAGGGTGGAAGAAAAAAGCTTCATATTGGACTATTGTTTACGGAATTTCATATGATATCTTCGCAGATAAAGAACCGATTTTAATGATTTTTTGTTCTTACAAAAGGTGGCCTCATATAAATTTTAAAACAAAATTATGGGGTTGCAAATAAATAACTTCTTTTTTAGCAATGTGATGTCGGTCTTTACTTTTTGTTAAAAGTTATAATTATGTTTCATTTAATTCGTCTTTTCATTTTTCGTTTGAACAATCATACATTGCGTATCAAAAGTCTACTGAACATAGGACGTCCAAAGCTTCTGCCATCTAGCGAGAATTTTCATAAGACGTTGCAACTTGTATTTGTCATATTTGCTACATCTGACCGGCGGTCAAACGCAGTATTTCTTATGAGTTGTTACCAAGAAGACGCTGTTCTGCCCTGAGCATCTCCTGCTTCTTTCCCTCTGTCGCCTTACGACACCCACAGCATGACATAAGAGTAGTGTATTTTCTCTCTTCGCCACAACGCGACGGTTTACTCAAAAAATGTAAGGAGCAAGACGATCGCTTCAAATTTTATACAACGTTTTATAGTACACGGACGCTGGATTTTGATCCACTCTGCCGACAAAAATGACATTAATGGCCATTGTGAGTGCTGCATCACCACATGTTTGGCAGTAAAGAAATGAGATGAATGCAGATGAAGTTTTTAAGAGAAAATCAGCGTACTACAGAAATAAACAAGAGAGCGTGTACACTGTACACATGCTCTGGGAGCGAAATTTCTCTACCACAACTACTCTTTTCTTTTTCCGTTGGAATTCCTGAATCCTGGGTTTTTTTATAGAATAAGGGTGACTAGCGAGCACACAGTCCACCTGATGGTAAGCGGATGCTGTGACCCATAGACATCTATTCTTCATTAAGAATCAAAATGCAGATGCGCTGTTACCCCTGAGGATCGAATGCCTCGTTTCCAGTAAAAAGGGTCTCCGGTTCTCTACACTCATGATATCCGAAGCATGTTCTACGACAGTGATTGCAAAAACTTTTGAGAAGCGGGTCAAATTTTGAATAAAACTAAATTTACGGATTTTGTCGCGTTTATTTCACTACTTTTACTTATTTTTAATTCCCGACGTTTCGGGTGCTTTACAGCAACCATAGTCACGGGGGGGACTGAGATGTTTGACGTCCCAATGTCATAGTTAGTCCGGCTACCTTCAGTTTTTGAATATTAATTTTTGGTCCGATTTACGCAAAACGAGCTTATAGTATCAGGTTATAGTATCATTAGGTTTGGGTTTAATTTTGTTAATTATAGGATCCCAAGCAGGTAGCAGCACTCATCCATCTTCTCTATTGAAATTTGGATGTTTTTTAATTTCAATAGCCTCGCGTATCATCCTTGGTAGGTCGGTGTTCTTTTGCGAGAATTTGTGGTTTATCAAAACGAATGTAATGGTGGGGACGATCTTGAACATGTTCTCAGACTGCAGACTTCCCAGAGCGTCGGTGCTTCACGTCAGCTATATGTTCTTTCACGCGGGTGAAAGAACATATAGCTGACGTTCCGTATATTCAAGTGTAGTGTTCCGTAAATTTAAGAAATTTACGGGTCAAATTTTGTTCATTATTTCTTGACTAACAGCCCTTGCGTCATGAAGTCAGTTGCATCACTAGGACAGTGGCACTTATATTCACTCTCACATTTAAAATTCAAACGGAAAAAAATCTTTGTTTTACAAATTTTACTTTAATTTACTTTTGCATGTGAAAATCAAAGAATAATGGTCGACGTCAAAACTTATTTTTATATGATTGTTGCAATAAATTACCGCACCAGCTCATATCATCCCGTATCAAAGAATAATGGTCGACGTCAAAACTTATTTTTATATGATTGTTGCAATAAATTACCGCACCAGCTCATATCATCCCGTAGGTGTCGTAAGAGGGCGACAGAGTTAAACTGAAATAGGAAAGAGACAGCAGCTTTTACCTGACAACAACTAAAAACAATGAAAAACAGCGTAGCTTAACATAATATTTGATTTTATGTTGATTGGTCTATGAAAGACTATTAATCAGTACATAAATATTGTACCCACGAGAACTACTACCTGTGTCAGTTTGGTAGATTGTGATTCAATATATTATGTACTTCGAATTGGAAACAAATGAAAATTAATAGATGCCACGCTGCAGCTATATTATGGTTGTAACACGAAAGGGTCGGCTCGACCGGGGAAGGACCACGCTCTCACAGAATACCAGAGTAAAATAGCAGCTTTATGCTACTGTGTTTCGTATGGTGAGTGTAGAGAACCGGAGACCCATTTAACTGGAATTGAGGCATTCCATCTTAGTCCTAGGGGTGACAACGCATCTGCATTTCGATTCTTAATCGAGGTTAAATGTAGATATCTACGGGCCACAGCATTCACTTACCATCAGGTGGACTATGTGCTCGTTTGTCACCCTAATTCTACAAAAAAATATACATAATAGAGATTTATTGCATACCTGCCTTGTGTCAATGGCAAGGTAAATGTGTCATTATTAAATATACTGTGTTATTATGACAAAACTTAATTCGTTTATTAAATCACTCACCTTCAAATCAGTAGGGTTATAGAAGCTCTTCGAGCAGATGGAGCAGACGTACGGCCGCTCGCCTCTGTGCCGAGCCAAATGCGATCTTAACGCGTATCCATTAAAGAAGCGTTTCTCGCAAACTGTGCACTGATGCGTTTTCTGCTCAAAGTGGGTCTGTCGGTGACGGTAGAGAAGGGTTTTCGTCTGGAAGGTTCTCTGGCAGACCGAACAGGTCGGTTGCTTCGGTGGACGTTGCTCGTGGGTACGCATGTGCATTCTCAGCATACCAGGACCCTAGAACGAGATTTTACTAAATTTAATTTAGATAATTTTAATAATGCTAGTTCTTGTTTCATTGTGATTCCTTATTTATAAAAGTGTTACGGGTTTCTAGAAACTATCACTCCATTTCGTACCCGTGAGTGTCCTAAGAAACTATGGAAAAAGTCTGGAAAATCTCAATGCCTCCGAGTAATAACGGTATGGTCCGTAAAAATACACTACATATTTCATTTTGATTATTTCTTTTACAGAATGAGAGTGTTTTAATAACGTGACGCCTACGTTTATCCTTAATAATGGATCGCGTCACCAGGCAAAGGATCACGCTCGAACAAAATACCAGCATAAAATAGTAACTTAATGCTGGGTTTCGTATGGTGTTATGGTGAGTATAGAGATTCTGAGATCCTTTTTATTTTACTAGAAATGAGGCATTCCAGCTTAGTCCCGAGGGTAATAACGTATGAGCATTTTGATTCTGAATCGAGGATGGATGTAGATGTGTATGGGCCACAGCTTCCAATTACAATCAGGTGAACTTGTCACTCTTATTATATTAAAAACATGATTATAACTACAGACCTTCGATCTTAGCACACTAAAACAATGTAAACGAACACACATGTAAGACCAACCCGGAATTGTAAGACATGTGGCCGTAGAAGGAAAAGGGGAGATCTCCCACCGGGCAAGGTGTTCTGCCCGGGGAGCGGCCAACGCTCCGTGTGATAATTCGGAGATGTTCTATATATACTGTTTATGATTCGGAATGTTGATAGCGTGATTTAGGCTTCGGTGTTATTCGGTTTCGCCACAGACATATATAATATAAGATAATAACTCACCTTAAAAGTCCTCTTACACACAGTACACATTGGAGGCTTCTTGCAATTAGCTTTGATCCAGTTGGCGTGAGACCTCATGTGCAGCTTTAGCCAGCGGCCATGTTTGAACTCCTTATGGCAGAGATTGCACACGTGGCGTCCAGGCGACACTGAGGATGTCACTTGGAACACCACCAGCTGCATGTAGTTGTCTTCGTCCATATTCAGTGGATCGTCTTCTTTCGCCACCTGTTGATCTTGTGATACCTGTTAACGATAAAAATATTTTTTTAGCTTATACAACAACTTCCGAAATCCGATTTCCTTGAAAAGAATAGTTACTGTCTATTTACGTTCCACTGCTGAGCACAGGCTTCTTCCATTTCTTAGAGGTTTTTTTGGGGCAGCAAGAGTCCGCCTGCGCTATTTGTTGTATTGGCAGACTTCATGTGGAAAAAATGAGTTGTAACCATTGACTTATATATTATTAGCCGGTACTTATATATAAGGACCGGGCGGACCGAACAACTAAAACGGACCAGTGCATTGGCCCTAAAATTACAGTTTAGGGCCAACGCGAATCGGTCGACAGTAGTGCGCGCGCAGGACTGATTTGCCTGTCATAAATATGTCTACTTGCGTGGTAAAAAAATGCAAAAATCACGAAACAAAGACTTAAAAAAACATGGGATATCGAATCATCGGTAAATAACTTTATATGAATTTTGTTACAATTAAATTATTACATAAACGCATTTTTAAAGTTTTATTTTACAGTTAGTTTTTTAAGATTAGGCCAGGGTTGGATTCAGACCCTCAAAAATATTTTTCAAGGATATTAAAATTAAACTATTTAAAAAAAATTATATCAAGTTTGACGTTTCATGTTTCTTTTTTCTAGTTTATCTATACGTTTCGTTTTTGACGGTTTTGTTTTTATTTCTGTTTCATTTTTGTCTAAAGAACTTAGTGTAAGTTTTAATATTGAATATTGGT